GCCTATCACATGGCAAGTGAGGAAGCGAGTGAGCCAGAAGTGGGGCCAGGCTATAAAACCTCAAAGTCTCTCAGTGACCCACTGAGAGAGCCTTAATGGGCTGCCTTGGTCATGGTGTGTTATCACAGCAACAGAAAAGTAACGAATACAGTACTTCTCAGTCTAATCAGGTTGACAATTAAGATTGTCAGACTCTAAGAATCAATACATGTAAAGTATTTAGAAAAACAGTTCTTACTGATGAGAACAGGGGGATAAAAACTGGTCAGGGAGGGCAGGGAGGGACCCCAAATGTTCTGAAAATGCCCTTGCTGGAGGCCAGGAATGCTTCCGGCAAGTTCCTTGTTATCACTTATCCTATTACCACTACCAGGAAGCTATCTGTGAGTATGTGTGTGACCAAAAGTGAGAAGAGAGACCTGGACACCTCATAGTTGGGTCGGCTGGACTGACCAGCTTATCCCCTTCCTCGTGTCTCATTCCAGTTTCTGTCATAAGTCCTTTAACAAGCCCCCAGACTAGCAGCTCAACTACCAGTGACCTGTTCCTGCTGTACAGGAGATCAGACCTATCTCTCTCTCTCTCTCTCTCTCTCTCTCTCTCTGTCTCTCTGTCTCTCTCTCTCTCTCTCTCTCTCTCCCTCCCTCCCTCCCCTCTCTCTTTTCCATCCTTGGAAACTCAGTCACATCTACTTCAATCACTATTATTTTTGTTAGAAAATAAAACACGTGATATAAGCGAAGCTGTTCTTAGAGGGAAATGGACAGTATGATAAAAATGAATATAAGCTTGAGTTAAACTTGGGTTCAAAGTATCTTTGCTCTGTTCTCACCTAGCTGTTCAAACCCCAGAGGAATCATGGCTGTGAACTCCTGTTCTGGCAGGAGTGCCAGTTAGATTTCTTGTGCCTCATCAACTTATCAGTACAACTAAGGTCAAGTCTTAACTGCATCAACTGTATGGTGTTAAAAACTCCATGTATGAGAATTCCATTAGGTAATTTATTTAAAACATTTCCTACTATGCTTATGACAGGAATTCTTGGGCAACCTTGAGGAAATGGGCCAGGAATCTTGGTTATTCTTGGTCGTTTGTCATACGGCAATTCTTTTGGTGGAAACTGCGGGTAGGAAGCGCTATACAAAGCTCAAGCTGCTCTGGTCTCAAGGCGTAGATAGGCACATGGGGTGCAGAGGATGGAGTGTTTCCAAGATTGTACGTTTTACTGATCTTTAATATAAAATTCCCGTGACTGTATCTACCAAATTCGTTTCCAATGCTACAAAAGTGAACGTTTGATGACATTGCTGGCAGTTAGTCTGGGATAAACAAGAGGAAAGTAGGAAGGTAGAAAGGGAAGTGACCTGGTTATAAGCCTGCGTAAGGTGTGGATGGTGTCTATGTACGTGTATCTCTGCATGTCCGCTGCTCAAGCCCGCAAGGTCCCCCTTTAAATTTTGTATTCTTATAGTATCCTTAAAAATTCTATCCTTGTAATTTTTAAAAATATTTATTTTTATTTTTATGTGTATGAGTGTATTGCCTGCATGTAAGTGCACCCATTTCATGTAATGCCATGTTAGAAGAGGGTGTTGAAGTCCCCTGAATTGAGTTATGGAGTTAGCTGCCATGTGGGTGGTGAGAATGGAACCTGGGTGCTCTTAACCCCTGAGCCATCTCTCCAGGCCCTATTTTAACTTTTTTTTAAAAAAAATTTCTTATTTTTATGTGTTTGTGTGTATTGCCTGCATGTAGGTAAGTGCACCCATGTCATGCAATGCCTGTGGAGGTCAGAAAAGGCTGTCGGATCCCCTGGGACTGGAGTTATGGACAGTTGTTAGCTGCCATGTGGGTGCTGGGATTTGAACCTGGGTCTTCTGCAAGAATAACCAGTGTTCTTAACCACTGAGCCATCTCTCCAGTCCCTATTTTAACTTTTAAAAACATTTATCTTTTAAAAAACTTTTTGTTGAACATTTTTATTGAAATTTTGCAATTTTCATGCAATATAATTTGATATTTAGATACTCTCCCCTATCCACACCTCCCCTTATCACCCCCACCTAATTTAATATACTCATATATATAAACATTATATATAATATATAAGTAAATATATACTAAATATATGATGTATAAATATATAAATAAATATATATATAAATATATATAATAAGGACTGTAGAGTCTAATTTGGGTCCCCAGATGTCCTTCAGTGTGGGCCCATCCACTAGAACCTGGTTAATCTACCAAGAGTCACATTCTTGAAAGAGACTGTCTCCCCTCCCAGCAAGTTAGGTTGGGGTTTCTTACCCATTTCTCCACATTTATGCTGGGATTTTGTTTGGTCTGAGCTGGCATGGGACTTCGCACACTGTCACCACTGCTGTGAGTTCATATGAGTAACGGACCAACTGTCTGGAAAGCTGTTTCTTTGTGGTCATCTACCACCTCTGGCTCTTACAGTCTTTTCCCTTCTTCTGCAATGATCCCCGAACCTCGGGAGGCCAAAGTTTGAAATTCTATTCAGGGACAAACACTCTGTAGCCTCCTGTTTTCTGCACATTGGCCAGCTGTAGGTTTCTGTATTTTTGTATTTGTCTTGCACTATTTTAAAATACCAATCAAAATGTATGTTGTTTATCTATAGGAGACAAGAAAGCAAAAGGTTTCTATAAAAGGCTCAGGTTTTCTTTGTTTGGGGCTCTGCTTTAGAGAATTGTCTCTTCAGGCTTTGTACCGGTGCAATAAACTGCTTCCTGCTTGGCCTAGGGGTCCAGTTTTCTGTTCAGGGTTCTTACTACACTTACATCCATGGAGTCAACTGCAGATGACCCTCTCATTGTGTCCCTTCCTGAGTTGCTCAACTGACTACCCAGAACACTGAATCCAGAAAGGAGAAAAGACTGACTATCAAAGGGTGAGGCAAAAGTATAGAGTGACATTACTTCTTCAATTTGAAAATAAAAGAACTTGGGGCTTGGAGAGATGGTTCAGCAGTTAAGAATACCTGCTGTTCTTCCAGAAGACCTGGGTTTGATTCCCAGCACCCCCCTGCAGCTAACAACTGTCTGTAACTCATTTCAGGGGATCTGACTCCCCCTTCTGGCCTCTGCAGGCTTTGCATGACATGGGTCCACTTACATACATGCAGACAATACACTCATACACATAAAATAAAAATAATAAATAAGCCGGGTGTGGTGGCACACGCCTTTAATCCCAGCACTCAGGAAGCAGAGGCAGGCGGATCTCTGTGAATTCAAGGCCAGCCTGGTCTACATAGTGAGTTCCAGGACAGTTGGGGCTACAGGGAGACCCTGTCTCGAAAAGACCAAAAATAAATAAATAAATAAATAAATAAATAAAAAGAAAAAAAATAAAAGAACTTTAAGGAAAGGTCCTATCTTACTGATATCGGTACTTTAGCATCCCATACCTTATATTCATTATTTTTTGAACTTTTAAAAAATTTTTATTATTTTTATTGTATACGTGTGTATTGCCTGCATGTAGGTAAGCGCACCTGTGTCATGCAATGCCCTCGGAGGTCAGAAGAGGCTGTCTGATCCCCTGGGACTGGAGTTACAGAGAGTTGTTAGCTGCCATGTGGGTGCTGGGATTTGATCCTGGGTCCTCTGCAAGAACAATCAGTGTTCTTAACCACTGAGCCATCTCTTCAGCCCCATGTTCATTAATTTGTAAAGGCAATGTAGTCTGTGTGATGCAAAACACACAGTCATAGCTCTTACCTCAAACCAAATACGGATTTTTAAAAACTTTTTATTTATTTATTTATTTATTTATTTATGCACATGTGCACTGTGGCACCAGTGTAGAGGACAGTTTATAGGGGCTGATTCTCTCCTTCCACCATATAGAAGGGATCAAACTCAGGTTGTCAGGCTCAGAGGCAAGCACCTCCATCCACTGAGCCATCTCACCAACCTGATTGGTATTATTTATTTATTTATTTTTATTTATTTATTTATTTATTTATTTATTTATTTATTTATTTATTTAGAGACAGTCTTAGCCCAAACTCATCTAGACTCCACTGTGTAACTGGATGGAACATCCTGTATCTCACAATGTGGAATGCAGGAAACATGTAAACAATATGGCTGCACTAATGTCAAACCAGGATGATGCCACTGTGGGCCAGCACTATGCCTTGACACACCCACTACAGCATCACTAATCAGATCTGGGGCATGCAGCACTCAAACCAAACCACCAAAGTATAACTGCCCTGCTCAGAAAGGCCTGACAGGACTCTGGTGCTCCAAAATTGCCCATGGGGACTCCACGCTGCTCCAAGGCTGATGAGTGGACTTCTGGCAGGACCTCCTGACCAGACCCAATGTATCTGTGAACCTGAACTGACTGGTGGTTGGGTAAGCCCCCATTTGCTTTGTAATCAATAAGGTGTGTTAGCATCATAGCGAAGGCCTGGACTGATTCTTGTCTGATACCTCAACTACTGGGTCGGTTAAGCAGGTACTGGCAACAGTAACCCAGGCTGACCTCAAACTCTAGGCAAGTCTCTTTGCTTCAGCCTGTCAAGTGCTGGAATTATAGGCCTGAGCCACACCTGGCTATACCATATTGTTTAGAGAATGACATTCAACACAGACAAAAATCAGGAATATGTTATTACTACTATGTGCATATGCGGTCTGTGGGGACATGCATGTTCCACAGTGCCCTTGGCATGGCACCCATGTGGAGCCCAAAACACAGTTTTGTGGAGTCAGTTTTCTCCCCTTCTGTTTTTTTTTTTTTGGTTTTCTTTTTTTGGTCTTTTTTTGAGACAGGGTCTCCTGTAGCCCCAGCTGGCCTGGAACTTGATATGTAGACCAGGCTGGCCTGGATCTCACAGAGATCCACCTGCCTCTTATCCTCCTGAGTGCTGAGATTAAAGGCATGCATCACTGCACCACCACGCCCAGCCTAACGGTTTCTTTCTGAATGTCCACGTTGCTTGGAAGTACACATGATCATATGAAATTACTTTTATTAAAATAGAAAAGCTTTCTAGTATATTGCAGTATACTATATATAGAATATATATATATACAATATATTCTAGTATATTGAAGACATTTAGACAGAAATAAGCAATTGCAACAAACATGCTACATTACCATCAGGACTGAGATATTCTGAAAGCTTTAAGTGCCCATTTCAACAGCATTTTGGTATAATAAGCTTATCACTATATATTTCAGAGGGTACACATAACACTGAAAAATACTTCATGTAAAACCCAAGTTCAGGTACATATAAACAAGAAGTAATACATTGAATAGCTTATTTCAAACTGTGAAACACATTCAAAGTATCCAATTTCTTAGACAACATGCAAACATTTTAATACTCAGCTTGACATTTTAAATATATAAACCATTCTTTATAATTCTATATCAAAAAAGAAAGTCAGATGGAACATTTATCTACATTGTGCACATCAAAGAAAGCAAATATGTTTTCATGAACAGAAAGTATTGGGCTAACACACACGATTGTCATTTTATAAACATGGCTATTCACCTTCATAATAAAATAAAAAATCATGTATTATTTACATGAACTACTAATTATTTCATTTTTGGCAATTATATAAGTAGCAGCAATTGGTTTAAAGATTGATGTTTAAAATCTCTGTTTGACTTGAATACTGATGTAAAAACTGCGTGTTGCAAGATATTCTGATGCAGTGTAACTTCTCCCTTTCAGTAAAGTCACAGGCACAACATAGTGATGGCTGAGGGCGTCTTACGACATAAAGTTTTATGGGTGTATTTGGTCAGCTTGGTTTTGTTTAACACAGTAGATGGGGGTCCTGCCTTAAATGTCCACGAGTAAAGCCTGCCACTGAGTCACATGACTTCAGAGCTGCTTTCTCTTCACTCCGCACTCTTACTGCAGTGAGCCGAGCTGCTAGACAGAGTGGGTCAGGATCTGCACACAGAAACAAACAGGGCAGCCTTCATCAGGAACTTGAAGTTCCTGTGTCATGACTCCAACAGCAAGGGATGTTTTCTAAAAGTAACCATCTCACTTGTCAGTGATAGTTAAATTTGCTTTGGAGAACGGAACCTACCTACTGAGCAAACTGTGGTGCACTGACCCGCCAGAAAGAGGTGGCATCTTCATGATGATGGAAGAACTTGTTTTAACATTTGTAAAACCAAGGCAAAGTCCCTAATAGTGGCAGGTTAAAAAATACTGTGTGGTCATAAGAGGTAACATGGGCCTTCACTGGGCCACCAGGAAGCAGTCCTAGGACACCTGGTTGATGAACACGTCACACCTTCCGTGAGCTGTCAGGGACATGTCCAGAGCAAGTGCACAGCGATGCCCAGGCTGAGGAGGAGCAGGGTGTGGTAGTGAGGCCTGGCCTCCATGGCCCCTGATGGCAGGCGGCTGGAAACCTGCACCTGGGAAATGACGAGGGCAGACAGAGGGACATGGGATGCCAGTGTGGGGCTGTCGGAGTTGATGAGGGATTCGATCTTCTCTGCTTCCTTACTGCACGCCTCGATCTGGAAGGGAGAAGATTCTTTCAATAACCCACAGGCACCATAAAAAGGTCCAGTGGAGCAAATTTCATGTATGTCCCCAAAGCAGAATAGCCACAGACGCAGCTTGCTCTGTGCTCTCTGCCCTCCCTGCCCTTCCTGCCATTGCCAGGGTTGCTACTTATTACAGTCTGAATTTCTGACACAAATATAAGAGCATTCAGAGAAATCAGAAAGGACCCCGAATGCCACTGCCCAACTACTTTTGTTTTTTGCAATACTGTTCACTGCTAAGCCCACTCGGCATCATCTGACCATGTTAACCAATCAGTGGAAGAGAATGTGCCGTTATTGCTGCTTTAGACCTGAGAACGAAAAGCAGGTTTGGAATGAGGCAGGTGGAGCTGCTGCCTTGCCTTTGAGTCCTCAGGACTTTCTGCTGAACTTGGACCTGCACAAGTGAGGCCCCATAGCCTCCTGATCTGTGATGAAGAAAATGTGGGGTCCATAAGACAGGCTCAGATGGATCATCCTCCAGAGGCTTTCTGGCTTTGTCGCTGCATGTCCAGTGCCAGTCACCTACTCCCTGGGCCTTGGATGTCTCATCTGTACAATGGGTGGAGTGGATTTAGAAGTTTCTGAGACCCTCCACACTAAGTCAGAGTAGCTTACTGCTCCCCTTCCCTGGCTCCTTTGCACTCTGCTGTCCAGCAAGTACCTGGCTTCAGCACCCTGGAAGATGCTCAGTCCTTCAGATGCTACCATGGTTCTTTCCCTTCCCATGTGCCCCATCTCCTCACACTTTTGCCCCTTCCTGCTTCTGGTTTGTGCCTCACTCCCCTGCAAGTCCACCAAACTTGTCTTTTTGGTTGTGAGCCTGAGCCTTTAATGGCTGCGCCAGCTCTCCAGCCCACAAGTCCACCAAACTTGAAAGTGACAAGACACAACATATGCTGAACCCCACCTGCAAAGCTTTTGGATAATGGTCGACAGGAATGATCAGGATGACGATTTCTGACTCGATGCTCAGGTATCCAAACACGTCACACTGTGGAACAGATATGTGCATGCGGATCTTCTGAAGCACCTCCAGAACCGTTACTGGTTTTTTGTTCGTTACCTAGCAAGAGAACACATTTCCACGACCTGAACAGGACTCTCTCTTACTGCTGAAGACATTTTGCTTCGGCTGCCAGCTGATGAGGCACTTTGACTAACAAACCCCTGAGTACCCTCAGTACCCCTCAGTACCAGAGTTCTGAAGCTAAGATGAGCCCCTACCAAAAGTACTTTGTGTTTTTTGTTTTTTGTTGTTATTGTTTTGAGACATGGTCTTGCTATATGGCTAGATTTTTTAAAGATTTATTTCTTTTTTCTTTTTTGGTCTTTTTGAAGACAGGGTCTCCCTGTAGCTCCAGATGGCCTGGAACTCACTATATAGACCAGGCTGGCCTTGAACTCACAGGGATCCACCTGCCTCTGACTCCCAAGTGCTGGGATCAAAGGCATGCGCCACCACACCCAGCTTCCTGAATGCTAGGATTAAAAGCATGTGCTACCATGCCCAGCTAAGATTAATTTTTATTTATGTGTATGAATATTTTGCCTGTGTGTCTATATGTGTACTATGTGTGCGCAGTGCCTGCTGATGCCAGAAGAGGGCGTCATATCCCCTGAAATTGGATTTAGAGTTGTGAGCCACTATGTGGGTGCAGGTCCTTTTCAAGAGCAGCAAGTGCTCTTAACCACTGAGCTATCTCTCCGGCCCTAGCTCTTTTTTTTTTTTTTGGTCTTTTTGAGACAGGGTCTCCCTGTAGCCCCAGCTGTCCTGGAACTCACTATGTAGACCAGGCTGGCCTTGAACTCACAGAGATCCACCTGCCTCTGCTTCCCAAGTGCTGGGATTAAAGGCATGTGCTACTATGCCCGGCAAGCTTTTTTTTTTTAATTTATATTTTAATATGTGAGTGTTTTGTCTGCATGTATGTAGGTGTACCACATGTGTGCCTGTTGCCAAAGGAATCCAGAAAAGGGTGTTGGATCCTTTAAAAATGGAGTTCAGATGATTGTAACCTGCCATGTGGGTGCTGGGAACTGAACTGCAATCCTCTGCAAGAGCAGCAAGAACTCTTAACCACTGAGCAATCTCTCCAGTGCCTCAATTTGTTTTTGTGTATGCATGTATTGCCTGCATGTAAGTGTACCTGTGTTGTGCAATGCCTGTGGAGGAGAGAAGAGACTGTTGGATCCCCTGGAACTGGAGTTATGGACAGTTGTTAGCTGCCATGTGGGTGCTGGGATTCGAACCTGGGTCTTCTGAAAGAACAGTCAGTGTTCCCAACCGCTGAGCCATCTCTCCAGCCCCCCTCACCTTGTTTTTTAAGACAGGATTTCTCACTGGTTAAGAGCTTGCTGAGTAGGCAGGCTGGCTGACCAGTGAGGCCAGGGGCTCTGTTGTCCTGGCCCCCTTGCTACCACACTCAGTTTTTTAAAACTTGGGTTCTGGGGACTGAACTTAGGTCGTCATGCTTACAGGGCAAGCACTTTATTGACTGAGGTTATCTCTCCCTTCTAAAGAGTGACTGTTCTGAAGTAGAGGGCACAGGAAAATAAAGTTCTCCCATAAAAATGCAGGCATTTTAATAAAAAAAACAGGAAGGATCTCTAGGTAGTGGCGGGTTTGGGCTGCTTTATTACTATAGACCTAGCTCTGCAGAGGGAGCAGCCGAGAAAGGAAACAACAGCCAGAGAAGGTGGTGGCTCTGGAAGGTCTGCCTGGAGGAAAGGGTGCTGGTGCGAGGTGGTGTGCAGAGACTGTGAAGCCGTCTGGGTTTCTACTAGCCTTGGCCACCTGGCCCTGAGCATGCTCATTGTGCTGACAGGAGCCTTTTCTAAGGAAGGCTCAGGAGAACGGATCTGGTTGTGGCAAGGAGGAGCATAGGTCAGGAGTCAGTCACCCTGGGTGAAAACCTTTGTTTTGTTGAGTCTGAGTCTGGGGAGAGGTTCTTCATTTATAAACAGGGACTATACATTCTGCTCTCCAGGATTACCAAGAAGTTTAGCACAATTATGTTTCAGCAGTATCTGGCATATGAAACAATTTACCTTAGCAATAGTGTCCAATTTTTCTTTGTCAAATAAAACTCTTAACATCCCAGCACATAATGGGCAACAAGCACCTGTAACAGAAATGACTTTTGTGTGTCCAGAATTAAAACAAAGAGACTTCAAATTAGTTGGTAAAGTGAGCAGCCCTTCATTTTGGCCTTCATCTGTCTTTCCTGATGATTCTGTCTTCAGATGGATTCCATGACCAACCTAGGCTCTTACAACCTGGTGTTACCAGTCATCCCTCCACTCCCACCCTGCCCCCCATCCTGCTGCAGAGCTGTTGGGTGAAGAGCTGTGGGGACCAGCATACACAGCCCTGCCTGCCTCTGTTCTTAACTCCTGATCCGGGACACATGCTCTCATCTTGCCTTTGTTTTTCCTCCTATAAACACAAGAGCTGGTGCTCCAGGTATCCTACGAGTATTTGCTTCAAACTGAATTTTTCAAACTATCTTTTTTTTTTGGTCTTTTTGAGACAGGGTTTTCCTGTAGCCACAGCTGGCCTGGAATTTGCTATGGAGACCAGGCTGGCCTTGAACTCACGGAGATTGGCCTGCCTCTGCTTCTGAAGTTCAGGGATAAAAGGCACCTGCCACCATGCCTGGCAAACTATCTTAATCTGTTAAAAAAAAAAAAAAACATAGTAAAAGCTTTTTTTGGGGACAACCTCCCTCTAAGAGATGAGACAAGCACCTGGTGCAGAGCCACAATTCCTCCTTCAGGATGGATCCTCCTTGAGGAAGTTACAGTCACCATAGTCTCTAGCCACACAATCTTGTGTGTTGGCTGTTCCACCGGTTTAATCTAATAACCCTAAGAGTCTCACTGTAGACCAAGCTGGCCTTGAACTCAGAGACCCACCTGCCTCTTCTCCTTGACTGCTGGGACTAAAGGTGTGCACCACCACATCTGTCTACATTGATGTTTGATGTAAGGTTTTGCTTTAAAAAAAAGCTGCCATGTAGTTTCAAAGTCACCACAGCAGATGGTTTCTAAGGCAATCCATGGCTTTGAGTTAACTTGGAGTAATGTGTCAACTCAGCATATGGATCTTCTAAAAACTTATTTACTTATTTACTTTTGAGACAGGATCTCATACTGAATCCCATACTGGCCTGGGACTCACAGGCAAGCTTCTTGTCTTAGCCTTCTGAGTGCTGGTATTACAAGTGTAAGCCACATGCCCAATTCTTCAAAACATTTTGAAATTTTTTAAATAGCCTAGTGAACTCTCTTCTCAATGGCTCACTTTCTGGAGGTGGATCAGCAAATCATTCCACTCCCCCCAAATACCTCCAGCCTACCAGGTGGGATGATGGGCTTGCAGCCAGGGGCAGAGAGCAAAGGACACTTCACAGCAGCACACTCAGCGACAGCACTGTACTCCGAGAGGACCCCAACAGCCTGGCAGGGCCCATAGTAATCCACGGCCACACGTTCTGAGTAGGCCGCACACACACTGCTGTAGGTCTCACCACTGTGCCCGCAGACAGGCTCTGTGACTCTGCAGAAAGACTAAGGGAAATCAAATAACTTAGTCTGGAAATGTCTATGGCTTGCCTTTCTAACTGAGCAAAGTGGATTGCCATATTTTTAGGAAGTAAAAAGACACAGGTATAAATTGTGGGGACCCTCTGAAGCCCAGGAGGTACACAAAGCAATAGGACTGTCTCAAGATGGATTGGAAATCCCTTGAGACTTTGGGTGCTCATTCCTCATGAACTGAGACAAGACAAAAAAAAAACAAAAAACAAACACCTTTAACTCCAACTCCAGGGGATTTGGTGCCTCTGTCCTCCCCAGGAACCCTCACTTATATGCACATACCAGTCCCCACTACGCATAATTAAAGATAAACCTTAAGTCCGTGCACACGCCTTTAATCCCAGCACTTGGGAGGCAGAGGCAGGCAGATCTCTGTGAGTTCAAGGCCAGCCTGGTCTACATAGAGAGTTCCAGGACAGCTGGAGCTACAGGGAGACCTTGTCTCAAAAAGACCCCCCCCGAAA